CGGGTAGAAAGCCATTTCTACCCGAAAAAGCTCACCGGAAGCGCTGGAGCCGCCATCTTTTTTGACGAAAAAGTGCTTCCGGTGAGGTCACCGGAAGCACTTTTTCGTCAAAAAAAGATGGCGGCGCCCAGTTGATGCCGGTACCGGGCCGCGGCGCCCAGCTGATGCCGGTACCGGGCCGCGGCGTCAAAAAGGTTGGGGATCACTGCCCTATGGCCCAGTTGATGGGTGTAGGACACAAATATTTATGATTGTGGGCGTAAGTTGTTTTCCAGTCAGCCAACCCGCATGAATACCCCCCTGGTTTTGAACAAGCAATACAAACATCAAAGGTTAAAACAATTGGGTTAGTACCGTCCTTGAGCACGGTGGTGTGATTTAGGTAATAAAGTTTTCCCTCCCCCTCAGGATCAGATCTTCCAGAGGTTCTTGGAAGTCCCGCCCATAAGGTAACGTTGAGACGTACAGCCGTCTTGGGATCGTAGCAAATGGTTTTTGAGTTCATCTTGCATAGATGGTACATGGTCCCGTTTTTTCTGGCAAGTTTTTCCGGTAGGAAGGCACTTCTGCGGTTGTTGGGTATGGTAGATGAGAGTTAGTTGAATGAAGCCTGCTTGTGTGGTTTTGAAAAGGCAGGAAACTAGTCCAGCTAGTCCAACTATCCTTGGATTTCTTGCTTTCTAGCTAACCTAAATCTCCTGGCAGAGAAGAACAGCTGATGGTGGTGGGGGGGGGGGGAAGGAAAAATAGCAAGTTACCAAACCAGGCAAGTTGGATGACTCCCATGCCAGGTGGGGAGTGAGTGGGTGGGGCGGGGCCAGCCAGTTCTCCAAACTGGGGACAATCGTGTGTGCAGTGTTTGCAAGAACTCATCAGCGCAGCGTTTGAAAATCCTCGTTTTCTGCTTCTTCAACCTCAGCTGTGTCATGCAAAGCAGCTGAGGAGGGAAAAGCAGGGAATAAAGGACAGCCTAGAGCCCGGGCAGGCGGGTGAGCCAAACACAGAACTGGTTCAGTGTCAGCTGATCTTTGCAGCTACCGGTTCTATAAAACCAGACCGAACCAGTAGCATCCCACCCCCGGTACCCAGTCAAAAGAAAAAAAAAAGAGGAAGAACCATAACCTTAGTGACAGAGCATATGCTGGGCACTGGAAGAAAGTTCCAGGTTCTCTCCTTATATAATCAGTTGAATGCAATTAAGGAGCCATGAAGCAAGTGACAGGAAAGTCCATTGCAAACGAATCTGCCAGCACTTGCCTAGAAGACAATTAATTGGTTTTGGAATAAGGTGGCCTCCAGGTAATAAATTATTGAGAACTATTTTGATTCAGCGATTAAGACACCAGGTTTAGAAGCCAGGAAACTATGGGCTCTAGCCTGGCCTTAGACATGAAAGCTGGCTGGAAGACTTTGGGCCAGTCATTCTTTCTCAGTTCATATTGGGTGACAAGCCAGCTAATCAAATCCTATCGCAACCAACCTATCAGCACTCTGATGATCTGAAAAAAGCAGACCCTGCATTTGCAGAAAAAATGCTAGGAAGAAAAAGTTATAAGAAATAATTCCTGAAAGGCAGTTATGGGAGTTTAAACACTTTAACTTGAGGAAAGTGTTTCCAACCAATAGAAAATGTAGAAACGCAGAAACAAATCTTCTCTTGTGGGCCAGTTCAAGCCCTGCAGAGTTTGGTGTAAATTAGGGAGGAATAATCTGTAAATCAAATTCAAAACTTGAAGGATTTCAGGATTATCAAGAATCTAGAAAAGCTTCCTTATACTCAATTTATTCAACTGATTTTTATATTGTTTCCCCTTTAGCTATATCTTAAACCAGTTATTTCTGTGTTTTTAAAATGCAATAATAAAGTAATGAAAACTATGAAAAACAGAAGAAAATAAAACCGTTGCGCATAATGTTCATTTAGTGAAGGCTTGAATGAAGAGATAAGCTTTCAACAGGGATCTAATGAACAAAATATAAATGCCCCATAGGTTTGGGGGAAAGCTGGGGGCACCATAGGCTCAACTATGAGTAACCAGAAAATAGCATTTTGCCAAACCCAGCAGTTTCAAGAGGACTTCTCTAATGCTTGATAGGATCTACATCCTGGTCCCAGTTTGTTTACACTCTTGTTTGCCAGAATCAAAATTTTAATCCTAGTTTGGTAAACTAACTGGTAGTCAATACAGTTGTTTCATTAGAGGATATGGCCAAATGATCCATTTGGTGTTCCAATATCAATTCCGCATCTATTTCCAGATCCATCAGGAGCAAAAACCACACATTATACTGCAATCTAACTGTGAAGCATTCAATACATAGATTAATGGAGTTAGATGGTTAAGGCAATTAGCTATTCTAGCCAAGTAATATAGTAATTTATCAGTTCTACAGGATATTTTCTCAGCTTTGAGTATGTGCACACAAAGCTACACCCTGCCAAGAACGAATGCCTGCATAGTAAGGAAAAGGCTCACCTGTTTATTCTTGTGGCTTAAAGGCAGAAGCACTCCAGCAAAGCAGCTTTACAAGATTCAGATGAATCTTGGCTACAGGAAATGATCAAATGCACTCACATGTAGTTCACCCTGAGGAGAAATCAACAGCAGAATGAGTGAAAGACTACATACTAAAATCTTCAAAAACAAATTTTTGAAAAAAAATAAGGGAAATATAAGTGATATTTTACTGTATTAACATTCCTCCATCCTAGGTTGTGGTGCCATCCTAATCCTTTAAAAATATTAACAGAGCTGCTATCTTCTTGAGGCTTAATAGATCTGGGTCCTGCCAGTCCTTTCTGGAGCACTAATAACCCACCTTGCCTTTGTGGAAGACTGATGAAATAATAGAAATGCTGCTTTGGGCATGCAATTTGATGCCACGCAGGTACATCTTTAGGCAATTCTTATCAGTCCAAGCCAGCAAAGACTAAGGCAAAAGATTATGGAAGCTATCATCCAAAGCAATCACCCCTCTATACAGACAGTCTTCAACTTGCAACAGTTCATTTAGTGATGGTTCAAAGTTACAAAGGCACTGGAAAAAGTGACTTAAGAGCGCTTTTCACAGTTACAACTTTTGCATGGGCACGTGATCAAAATTCAGAACGCTTGGCAACTGATGCATACTTATGACCATTGCAGTGTCACTTTTGCGACCTTCTGACAAGCAAATTCAATGGGAAAGTCAGATTCATTTAATAACTACTAAACTTAACAGCTGCAGCGATTCACTTAACAACAGGGACAAGAAAAGTCATACAATGGGGCACATCTCACTTAACTAATGTTTCACTTAGCAATGTAAGTACATAAGCCCGTCTTACTAACTTAACTGCAGTGATTCACTTCACAACTGTGGCAAGAAAAGGGGGGCAAAACTCACTTAACAGCTGTCTCACTTAGCAACCGAAGTTTTGGGTTCTAATTGGGGGTCCTAAGTAGAGGACTAGCTGTAGCTCCAACTTTAATTTGGGAGTTTCTCTCCATAACACTTGAGGAGGAGAGAATTGTAGTGCTGACATCCCACTGGGGTTAGGGTAGGGTGGAGGACCGAGGGAAAGCGGCCAAAATCACATTCTAATTGCAAAACTCTTGGCTTGTTCCTACAAAAAGAGAGGGAGAGGGAGCCACCAATAATGGATAGGAAGCGGAGTAGCAGCCTCTCGAGAAACAATGCAATGGCTCCCCCCGGCCTGAAAACCTTGGAGGAAAGGCTAAAAATACACCAGAAAATGCCTCCGTGCAGAAGCCGCGGCGGGCATTTAAAACGAGCAAGCCATGCCCGGGCTGCGGAGGAGGATGCGGTGGGGAAAAGAAGGCCTAAACTCAGAAGAAGAGGGGGGACCGGCCGGTGGAAAAGGAAAGCGGAGACGAAGAAGCGGAGACAAACCAAGCCCTCCAACGAAGGGAGCGGAAAAGGAAAGCCGGGAGAGACTCTCCAGCAAGCAGCCGGACTGAGATCGGGACAGCCGGAAAGCCAGGATGTTTAGCGGCTCCAGCTTTCTTTATCTTGCCCAGGCCGCGGGGCGGTGGAGCCGAAGTAGCTGCAGCCGGAGCCCTTACCTGGTGCTAGGGGGGATCCTTGCCTGCTGGTGCCGGCGCGGGGGAGGAGCCGGAGATGCAGCCGGGAGCAGCGGCGAAGACGAGGAAAAGCGAGGCGGCGGATCCGGTTCGCGGCCGGAGGCGGCGGCGGGCGGGGTTAGGAAAGGCAAGCGGGCTGACGTGGCTGCTGCTCCGACCGCCGAGTCTCCCGGGGGGCGATCTTAGGGTGGATTTGGGGTGTGTGGGTGTGTGTGGGCCTCAAATCCTGCAAACTTATAAAGTAGCTCTGGAGGAGGAAGTGCAGAGCAGGGGCCCTCCGCATGGCTGCTCCGAAGCCAGCCCCGGCGCCAAGAGCGAGATCGCGGCCTCCTTATTAGCCGCCTCTTCCGTTTATGCGGCATTTACTCCGAAGAGTAAACCTCCTGACAAACCCGATGCGATTGACCGGGGAGGAAGGGGGGGAGCTTCTTTGTCCTTTTAACAAGTAGTTAGCAGTTGCTCAAACCCCAATCCGAACCCGAATAGAGCTAGAAGGGACCTTCGAGGCCTTCTAGTCCAGCCCACTCCCACCCCACCCCTCCTGCTCAAGCAGGAGATCCTATATCATTTCAGACCAAGTGACTTGCGCGGTCTCTTCTTGAAAAACCTCCAGGGATGAAGCGCCCACCCCATCGGAAGGTGAGCTGTTCCACTGGTTTAAAACGGCGACTTCCACGCCGGAAAGACGCGAGATCCCTGGCCTCTTTTGTACCTGGGCAACGGCCCCTTTCCTGGCTTTACTTTTACCTTTGCTGTGTTTCCTTAGAGGTTGTGGCTGTTTGCTTCTAAGCCCTCAGAACAGGTGTTTGTTTGGATGGATTGGGGGAGGGGGGAAGTATCTCCATATAGATGAATCTGAGATATCTCGCCCCGTTCTTCTTTTTCCTGCTTTCTTCTGTTATTATTTAATAGCAATAGCTGTCAAATTATTGGGTGGGAAGAGAGAGAAGGCTTTTTGCAGCCCTGCTCATTAACATCCCACACAACTGCTCATCACTCCCACACCCAAAGAGAAGGGGGCGTGCATAAGCGCACCAACCTGCCTACCGTCCCTGTCCTATTGTCTCTTTTATTTTTCTTATATGTACCCATTTCATGTATTCATAACTATGTATATACTTATACCTATTATCTTGTAAGCATTGACAAATCAAAATAAATAAATAAATAAATAAATAAATAAATAAAATAAACCATGGCCAGATCCCAGCAAAGCATGTTTAATGCCGGGGAAGGAGGCTGGACTTCACCCCTTATAGCTTCTGTCTTGGTTAGGGATGTAAGACGGCTTTCTCCCAGATAGGGGAAGCAGAGGAGCTCTGGTCTTAGGCTGGGACCCCAGGTGTTATTCTGACTTGAAAACAAAAAGTCCTCAGGTCTGGATGGACAGTGAGAGTTAATAAAGAATACAGGGGGTTGGGCACCGTAATGTCGTCCCATAAGCTTGGTCTTTGACTTGGATAGCCAGCAATATACAGGTAGCCCTCAACTTACAACAGTTCATTTAGTGACCATTCAAAGTTACAACAGTGCTGGGAAAAAGTGTCTGATGACCATTTTTCCCAGTTACAACCATTCCAGCAATCCCAGGGTCATGTGATCAAAATTCAGATGGTTGGCAACTGGTTCATATTTATCACCATTGCTGTGTCCCAAGATCATATATATGGCCACCTTTTGTGATCTTCTGACAAGCAAACTCAATGGGGAAGCCAGATTCACTTCACAACCGGCTATTAACTTATCAACTGCAGTGATTCACTTCACAACTGAGGCAAAAGTCGTAAAACGGGGCAAAATTCACTTAACAGCAGCATACATTTTGGGCTCAGTTGTGGTTGTAAGTCAAGACTACCTGTAATGACCTTTTCTTAATTTGTAGCCTGATACTCTGGAAAAGGTAGGATGGTTACATTAATGTCTTAGACATGCTGGGGGAAAGTATTATTCCAGGTGGAATCATCAAATAGCTGGATAAATTTTGCCAAAGCATTCTTCTGCGTAGAAGTTCTAAGTCTTGCTAATTTTCAGAGACTTGAAAGGTCTGTTGTGGCCTTTGTCTCTATAAAAGTAGAACTAAAGTTAATTGGGAAACGTGACAGGCAGAACTACTGAAAGTGATCCTTACACATTTTAGCTGTAAGATTTGGAAACAGCAGTTAGTGCAATTTGATGAGTATGTTCAGCCCTTTATGCTGTAAGGAACCCAAAACAGAAGTCCCAAGTATGATTACTTGTCTTTAAAGCCTTTATTCAAGAACTTAACAGCCCTTGAAGGGGAAAAAAAAGTATTCCTGCTCTTAGCATAGCTATTGTACATCATGAGGAGCCTTTTTTTCCTTCTTTCTTTTTCAACTATGTAAGTATCCTTAAACATATTATTCAGGCATAAACAATGGAGAAAGTTACATTTAAAATAATTATATTGCCAAACCAAATCTTAAGAAGGTTTACCAAGTTTGCATTTATTTTTCTAGCCCAGGATTTTCTTTTTAACAATGAGAATTACTTTGTATTCTAATCCAGGTCAAACCAGGCTGTACTTCATCTTTTTTAAACAGGTAATTTTATGGCATTGTGCAGATGGCAGCCCCAGATAAGAATTCATTTCAAGGTGCATTTTGCTAGGCAGTGGTTTTCTTTGTTAGACAATACAAGTGCTTAGACACAAGAGGGCGCTCTGATCACATTTATTTTCTGATGGGAGAAACTTTTTTTTATGAAGTATAAAAAGAAATTTTATCAAATCTATTGCATATATCTAAGATACTAGATCCTTTCAAGTGAACGTTACTTTTGAAAACAAAATCTCTTTGATTCATTTACCATGCTGACTAATACAGATATACAATATATGTTTAGGTGCCTATAGTTGCAACATATGTACATAATTCATAATCATTTATTGGACTTAAACTTTTCTTTGACACTGTATATTTCACAAATGTCCACTTAGGAGCATGGATATTAGAAACATGTTTGTGATTCAGTGGAAGCCTATACATTTTGCAGATCCAAAAATCTGTTCATAAACTAGTATGCAAATATAAGTAAATGTCCAAATACCTGAATTCAAACTGTGCACAAACTGAATATTGAAGATAAATGCAACAAAAATAGGTATTTATGAAAAATAACTTGCATATATTATATCTATGCATATATTAGAAGACAACCGCAAAAATATGTACATGTTTTCATATTGATTTACGTGGGGAATATGTTCAGACAGAGTCAACAATCTGTTAAATGATATATGTGGTAAACATCTTTGATATATTCAGTTGTAATGGCAACTTCTTTATTTAGTGATCTATTTGTATGAAGATTTTGTCCTGATAATTTTTGAGCTATTGATTGCTTTCAAATGCTGTTGACTTTCTACTGTATGGACAAAAGCCCCCATTGTCACTTCCTGGGGAAAAAGCCCACCCAGATTATCTCCCAACAATATTAATGAATAGGGTTAAAAACAACAGCAAGTATTTGCACAATTATTAGTTTAGGAAATATTGTCCTATACTCAACAGTACTACCTTGCTGTGACTCTAAACTGGAGAACATCTGTGCCAGTAAAGCCTATTAAACATAACAAGGCCTCTTTAAATAAGTAGGTAACAGCATTCTGCAGAAACTATGTCTCTCGTAATACCGGCTTTAGCAGTTTGCACCAGTTCGGCAACATATGGAAGACGTGTAATGTATAGGGTTGTATATTTTGAGTTTTGGCTGAATTCCCACTTGTACTACTTACATCCTCCCTCTCAGCATACAATAAAATCCTAAAATGTAAATATCTCTGAGTTCAATGGCCTTGTTTCCTCTCTATCAGTCCGCTTCAGATAAATACTCTTTTTTCCCCCGCAAAGTTTTTTTGTTTTTATTTTTTACACATCTCTTCACATGAGCAACGTAGTTCCAGATTACAATATTTATACATAGTCATAGTTACATTTTCAACTTTCTTAATTAATATCATCTCAAATTATTATCCATTCAACTAATCTTTAGATAAATTTCCCTTTCATATTTCAATTCATTAATTCAATATCAAAATCATTTCATCCTCACATATATTTTCAATTCTTTATCTCCTTTTATTTCCATTTTCAGCTTACCACCTATTTTATATTACATTATGTATTGTTATCATCTATAACTTTCTCAAGACCAATATATAATTACAGTCAATGAAAGAAAAAACGAGTAAAAGTAAAGTAAGATTAATATAGGATCCACATTGTATATCCCCCCATCTAACGATATATCTTATATATATTACAGAGATATTCATATAATCATTTCATATTTTTTCTTTGTTTCCATTTAGCCAAAAATATAATACATTCATTATAAATATTTAACATTCCCACATAATCCCTTCTACTTCATTATGTTTTCTATTTTCTCATATCCTTTGTATAATCAACTGCATTTTCTATTACACATATACCACAAAGAAAAAAAATAAAAATAAAAACACAGTTTAACCAATTTCAACCTATAGCATTTATATAAATACTCTTCAGATAAAATAATCCGAGGACTTGATGAGAAATTGTCAGAGTTGCTTCTACCCTTCAAAATGAGCATTCATTTGTAGCTTAAATCTTCAAAAAGGAAACCGTAAAAGGCAACAAAAGAAATCTTGTACTTGCTCCAGAATCAAGACTTTTGGACAGGACATAGCAAGGTATTAGTAGCGAGCCTTTTCCTAATATTCTGGCTAAGGATCAGTGGACTTGCATGATTAATTTTCCTGTCTTTGATGTTCAATTGGAAGAGCCAATTTGTTTTTAGTGAATGTACCTTTGAGAAAGTCAGTACTGTTGAAATATGTTCAAATAGTGTCAGCAATCTATGTTAAGTTGGTCATATGGCGAAGCATGTTTTTGATAAATTCAATTGTAACAGCAACCTCTTTTTTTTTAAGAAGTGTATTTGTATGACAATTTTGTTCTGATCATTTTTGAGCCATTGATTGCTTTCAAATGCTGTTGGCTTTTTCCTCTATAAAGAAAAGCTATTTTTTGAAGGTGGGAATTCCCAAGTAATGATCCCCCAGCAATATTAATGAATAGATTAAAAACAAGTATTCCCAC